GCCTGGGCCCCTGCGGGCCCCCCCGGGCAAGGGCTGCAGTCCCCGCGCGACTCGGTGGCCGTGGCGCGCGGGGGACTCGCTTATCCGGGAACCGCTCGGAATTGAATAAAGCAACGCGATTGGAGGCCGCCCCGGAGCGGGAGAGAATTCCCCCACCCCTGAACCGTTTTCGCGGGTCGGGGCAAGTGGTTTTGCAAATGAGGTCAGTGCAAATGCCTGGGAACGCCCCTGGCTGCGAGAGAAGCGCGGGGTTGCGACCGTTTGGATACGTGTACCTGGGTGGGGGTTTAGGGGTCCTCGAGTTCCGGCAGATTTGTGGGAGGGTCGGTGACCACCGTGCTGCCTAACGGTTAGGGCCACTGGCTACTGAGTCCCGCAGTGCAGTTGCTGTGTCACTTGGACGTGTCACCAGGCTAAAAGATTCAGTGCCCTCCTTGGTATAATGGGACTGGTCGCCGGACCTACCCTGTGGGATTATTAATAAAATGAGATCAATGCGATAATTCTTGTAAAATGTGCAGTCCATGGTAAAGCTGAGTTAAGTAAATGCCGGGGGGGGGGGCTTTGGTGCATTTTCCCACTGAACTTGTGTCTGCTGTCAGGCCACTGTCCCCAATGTCAGCATTTTTTAAAATTAGAAACTGAGCAAAAAAATCCTGAGAAAGATTGAAGAACTGGGAATCCATGTACTGCTTATTGGGCATCAAGTAGCCTGAAGAGGAGATTGAAAACCTGCATTGTCATGAGGGAGACATGACTTTATTAGCACTTTTCATTTTACTTTGTGTTTGGTTTTTCAGATTTGCCACAGACATTTGCCCTGAAAGTGGCAAAATGCCAGGAATGAAGAGAAAGAAATGTGAGAATCCGAGAAATAAATGATTCACCTGGGAAAGTTCCAACGTCTGCAAACACTCTTAGGGCCGCCCCTAAGAGAAACACTGGACTTTTTACAGTCTTTTCTGGATACAATAAAGAGGTCGGAGGTAGGGACGATCCCCTCCTCACTTGAGTCTGTTTCTTGCATTTCTTAGTACCACATACATACTGTGTTTAATGTATTCTCAAGCCTCAGAGAAAGATTACTGACAATCATTTCTCTTAGACAAGGCAACGACTAAAACTTCGGTCTGGCATCCTTCGTTTTATGAATCTTTTTTTTTTTTTTTAAGATTTTATTTATTTATTTGAGACAGAGAGAATGAGAGACAGAGAGCATGAGAGGGGGGAGGGTCAGAGGGAGAAGCAGACTCCCCGCCGAGCAGGGAGCCCGATGCGGGACTCGATCCCGGGACTCCAGGATCATGACCTGAGCCGAAGGCAGTCGCCCAACCAACTGAGCCACCCAGGCGCCCATGGCATCCTTCGTTTTAAAGCAACTCCCAGACGTGGTCAGTTTCACCTTCCTTCAGCATCCAGCTCCAGGAAATGGACATTTTTAGGGATGATTTTATGGCCGATAAAGCCATTATCACGTCTAAGGAAATTATCAAGGATTCCTTGGTACCCTCTAATACCCAATTCACATTCCTATCTCACATCATCAATAACCGAAGTGCTCCTTCCGGTTGCTCTCTCGGGCACCACGTGCTTTTTAGCTTCTGTTACACCCTGTGTGTACAGGAACCGTAAAGTATTACTCTGTGAGCTAGCCAGAATTTGTGACTTCGCGTTCCGCTTAACTTTTTCCTGACTCCCCAAATAACCCATGTGCGTGGTAGAGAACTTGGGAAGACGAGTGGTACCACGAGGCAGAAAGAAAGGTCGCCATTCTCGCCTTCACTGCCTCCCAACTCTGAGTCACTTGGGCATGTCCCGTCTAGCCTCCTACGGATTTTTACTGCTCTCACTGCACAGGAGGAAGCGGGCGCAGAAAGCTACGTGGCTCTGCCCAGAGGTCACTCCCAGGGGAGACCGCCGAGCGGGGCTTCTGGCCCGCAGAGCCTCCTCTCTAGCCCTGGGGACCGGAGAGAGAAGGGCGCGCGACCAGACCCGGCGGCCCAAATCAGCTGGACAGGAGGCCGCCCGGCCCGGTTATCTGCGGTTCTTTCTCATTTCCCTTCGGCGCCCGTTTGACATCTGCTCCACGATTGGTTGGCCAGGGAGAGGCTCCGCCCCCGACTTCCGAGAGGCCGCACTCCTTTGGGCTCGAGCTCCCCCGCCCGCCCACCTGCGAGCCCCGCCCCCCTTCCGTGGCCCGCGCTCCGGCCGCCGGGCCCCTAGCAGCTGCACGTTTACGGGTCCCCGGCTGGCAAAGTGAGGTGGCCTCTAAGGGGCCGCTTCCCCATCCTCCTCCCCCGGGGCAGAGAAACCGGCCCGGGAGCTCAAGTGATTTTCTCAAAGCCACTGCTCACTCCAGCAGACACCCTGCTGGGGACTGTCTATTAACGCTAATGACGACTGCCCCTGGGCCCCTGGTCCAGGTGCTTGGCGCTTTCAATGCGGACAACTGTGTGGGGTATTTTTGACCCTGTTCTTCAGCTGAAGGAAGTAAGGCCAGGGAGGCAAGGAGACTGCCCAAGTTCGCACAGCTTAAACTTCACAGCTAGAACTTTTCTCCCCCAACTTTTTTTTAATTTATTTTTTTATTAGCTACAGAGGTAGAATTTAATGGTTCATCAATTGCATATAACACCCAGTGTTCATTCCATCAAGTGCCCTCCTTAATGCCCATCACCCAGTCACCCCATCCTCCCCACCCCCCTCCCCTCCAGCAACCCTCAGTTTGTTTTCTAGAGTTCAGTGTCTCTTACAGTTTGCCTCCCTCAATTATCTTATTTTATTTTTCCTTCCCTTCCCCTATGTTCATCTGTTTTCTTTAATTCCAATATGAGTGAAATCATATGGTATTTGTCTTTCTCTGACTGACTTATTTTGCTCAGCATAATACTCTCCAGTTCCATCACATTGTTGCAAATGGCAAGGTTTCATTCTTTTTGATGGCTGAGTAATATTCCATTGTAGGTATATACCACATCTTTTTTTTTAAGATTTTAAGATTTTTAGTTTTTTAAGATTTTTATTTATTCAAGGTTTATATTTTTATTTAAGATTTTTATTTATTCATTTGCACGAGAGAGAGAGATCACAAACAGGCGGGGGGTCAGAGGGAGAAGGAGAAGCAGACTCCCTGCTGAGCAGGGCACCTGACCCAGGGCACCTGACCTCGATCCCAGGGCCCCGGGACCATGACCAGGAGCCAAAGGCAGACACTTAACAGACTGAGCAACCCAGGCACCCCTACCACATCTTCTATCCATTCATCTGTCGATGGACATCTGGGCTCTTTCCGTATTTTGGCTATAGTGGACATTGCTGTTATAAACATTGGGGTGCATGCACACCTTTGAATCACTGTGCTTGTATGCTTTGGATAAATACCTAGTAGTGCAATTGCTGGGTCGTAGGGTAGCTCTATTTTTAACTTTTTGAGGAACCTCTGTACTGTTTTCCAGAGTGGCTATATCAGCTTGCATTCCCACCAGCAGTGTAAGAGGGTTCCCCCTTCTCCACATCCTCACCAACATTGGTTGTTTCCTGACTTGTTAATTTTAGCCATTCTCTCCCCTAGCTTTTTATTAGGAATATTTCAACAGACACAAAAATGAAAAAAATTCTCCAGTGTTCACCCACCACCTAGGATTCAACAGTCATTTCCATTTGCCATATTTTCTTTCTCCCCTTTGATGGGTGTATGAGACTTTTGTTTTCTCTGGATCATTTGAAAGTGGATTGCAGATGCTATGCCACTTTGACCCCAGGTTTTTCAATATATTTCGGCAGGTAGCTCCTGAAACTAAGGACATTCTCTAACAACCATGGTAGGATATTCACCCCTAAGAAAGCTAACATTAATTCCCTAATATTACCTAATATCTAGCCCATAATCAAATTTTCCCAGCCATTTCAAATATGTCTTTTAAGTTTGTCCGTTTTAAGTGCACACATTACATTTGGTTATTGTGTCTTTTTGTTCTCTTTTATTTAGAACAATTCTATTCCTCCCCCCCCCCCCCCCCCGCCAACATTGACCTTTTGAAGTTCAGGCCGTTTTCTTGTAGAATGTCCCGGCCTCAGTGGGTCTTCATGGTGTCATTTAACTTGTTTTGCTAACCCCTGTATTTACTGCAAAATGCGAGTTTGATCTAAAGGCTTTATTAGACTTAGCTTTTTTTTTTTTTTATTGTGGTCAAATATACATAAGCCAAGATTTACCATTTGAACCATTTTCAAGGGGCAAACCAGTGCCTTTTAAGTACAGTACACCATTGTGCAACCATCAGTCACTGCCATCCATCTCCGGAACTTCTTCCTCATCCCGAACTGAAACTCTGTCCCCATTAAACGCTAGCTCCCCATCCCTCTTCCCATCGATCTCTCATAACCACCATCCTACTTTGTCTTTATGAACTTGACTAAGTACCCCAGATAAGTGGAATCTTACAAAATTTGTCCCTTTGTGACTGGCTTATTTCACTTAGCACAACTTTGCCAAGGCTCATCCATGTTGTGGCATGTGTCAGCCTTTCATTCATTTTTAAGGCTGAATAAGATTCCATCCTAGAGATATGCCAAATTCTGTGTATGAGATTTCCTTTCTACAATCCACCTGCCCCTTCTGTCCATGGCCACGTTCTTTTGTTTCCCAACCACTAGGCAGCAAGGTCAGCCCTTTTCAAAACTGTGCTCCACTCTGTGTGTGGTTCCAGAGCACCCCTTCCTCCTTCTGAACTTGATATTCCCCTTTCACATCTTCAGGATGCTCAGAACCCTCTGTTGGGGAAAATGCATCCAAGGGAAGCCGGAAAACTGAATACTCCATCCCAAGTGTGACTTGTTTGCTGTGGAACTTCTAGAGTGGAACAGTGGGCTGACGGAAGGGTTGGGTCAGCCACTTTCTGCCCTCCAGTCCTCTGACAACCACAGGAAACCTGACACAGGACCTTCCCTTCCACAGGTCTCTTGTGAAAACACCTCCTCACCACCCTGCCCTAGCTTACCTCAGGGCCCTATCTTGCCCTCCCTCTTTTGGGGCCTGACCACCAGGGCCTTCCCCAGCTGTCCTCGAAGCCCCTGCTCTGAGCATCTTGCTCCCAGGCCCGGCCCCTCCCCCGAAGGCTGCGTTTCTGCCCCATCCAGGCTAGGTCTTAAAGAGGATTTCCCAAGGGTTGACTTGAAAAAGAAAGAAAAGAATGTAAGGGCACAATTGTGCTTGCCCAGGATAAGTTTATTTCCTCATGACCAAGCTCAACTTCCTGTTGGCTTATTACTGGTCATTTCTCCTTAACAGCCTCCTTCCCTGGATAAGGGGGCCACATCATTGACTTCTTTCTAAGTAGTGGTGCGCGTGTGTATGTTTGGGGGGAGAGGGGACAGCAGCTTTGAATGGTATTCTGAACGGGCCCACCGAGAGCAACCTAAGCAAATAGGTTTTCAAGTAGGAGAAGGAGCCAGTCCTGCCATTTGTGAGGAGGGTGGGCTGGGAGGGGAAGGAAGGGGGCGCCAGGTCAGCGGAGAGGAATCCTGGGAGGCCACACTCAGCACTCATGCATTTGAGCTAAATAATAACTTCGGGAGGCGGAAAGACAAAGCCCAAGTAAATCAATCCTACACAGCGCTGATGATTCACTTGCTACAAGTTCAGTTGCTTTTAGACTAAGTGCGGTGGAGTGAAGGGACCAGCCCTGGATTCACGTCTGAATTCCAGCATCACTTCTTACTTACTAGATGACCTAGGACAAGCCGCTGGATATTTCTGTGCCTGTTGTTTTACTGATAAAATGGGCATGATAATTCCTACCGCACGGGGGTTCTTCTAAGGATTAAACAGAGTAGGATATTTAAAGCTCCTGAAAGGTGCTTTATGGAAGTCCAGTCCTTTCCATTTATTAGCCTAGCTGACCTCTCTCAGTCTCCTGAAATACAAAACTGAAGCTATTCCAATGTGGTTTTCCCCGTTTCCTACTTCAGTTCATTTTCAGGTCACTGGGTCATTATTCCGGCTCTCTCTTC